CGCAATAGTCCCCCGCCGCCACTGCGGCCTTGGTCACGGCCTCGGGGGCCGAGACGCACACAGCGCCGCGGGGCGCAGGCGGAGGCCAGGCAGAGCCGAACCCCTCGTCCTCCCCAGACCCAGGGAACCGCAAACCCCGGTGACCCGCCAGCCACAAAGAGTACGTACAGAACAGCTGGCCATAATGAAGTGTATTAGATCTCACACCGCAGAGCTGGCAAAGTGCCATGGAACAGCTTGTTTTAAGTCACATCGTGACCCAACAAGCTTGTTACCTGTGCGGCCAGCGCCAAAACCAAAGCTATGCTCTTCCAGCTGTGCCAGGAACACAGAAGCACTAGAGTCAGCTCAAATGCTGAGGAGGTAAGCCCACCATCCCTCATGGCTACAGTCTGGCATTAGCTTTTTAACCCTTTTACATATTGAGAAATAAGCCACTCTAGCTTGAGAATTAAGAGCTTGATCAGTCTTTCAGATGCGTAGGCATCAGAGAGCCATGTCAGGCACACTCAGCTTCTTCCTTTTCCTTCTCTCCACAGGACATCCTGCCCACAGTGTAGAATTCTGTGTTTGGGCAGAGGTCAATATAATGAGCTATACAGTTAGACATAGCAAAAAAAGCAGAAATTATGCCTATGTCCCAGGCATCTTCATGGTCAAAACCATGCCTCTCCAGCTTCTGGAAATGCTCTTCAGTGATGTTATCAGCTTGACAGACTGCAAGAGCAAACTCCAGCATTGCCAGGTCCCGGTCACTCAGGTCAACCAGTTTCCAGTTCACAATGACCTGTGAGAAGGCAGAAACCAGAGGTAGCACAGATGGACCCAGCAAACAGTCTAACTGGCTGACCACCTTCCTTGCCCCACAAACCAAAGAGATGACAGTACACAGGCTCTTACTCAGCACCTGAACCATCAGACAAAAGACTCATCTATTTTACCGCCCTTGTCATCTTGGGGACTGTGGCAGTTTTGCTGAGCAGGCTATGGAAGAGTTCTTGAAACGGGACCCAACGCCACCAGGATGCTGCAGCTCCCCATTGGTAGCAAGTTCCTCCACAGACCAGATTAAAACAGCAAAGAATGTGGGCAGCAGGATGAATGCTCTGCATCCCTCCCCACATCTTGCTTGCAAGGTGGATGAGGATACACAGACCCCCACCTCGAGGTCCTACCCCCACTGGCTACTGGTCTGACTGCTCACCAATAAACCTAGTAAGCCAGGTATTGAGTTAGGGCCCCAAACATGTCAAAATTGCTCAAGATGGCTGGGAACCACGTAGATCAAAGGTTCAAAATACAGATTAAGGATCAAAACTTCAGGCAAGAAAGAAGACACATCAGAGGGCCATTCCCACCTCCCAAGGGACCATGCAAAGCAGGTGGGGCACACACTGTTGTAACCCCACTGACATGGTCAGCCAGCGTTGGCTGCTTGGAATATATCCAATGAAGTGCTCCATGTCCAACCACACAGGTAGGGACATCTATTCACAACACTTGTAGCCACAATTATGAGCTCTTTCTCTGCCTTGCTGAGTCACCCTACAGGGACAGCAAAAGATTTGGCACACTTTGCTTTTAAAAATGTCCACCACAGCAAGTATCACTGGGGAAACAGGGAGGGGAGAGCTCCAGGTACAAGCTGCCTGCAGTATAGCCCAGGAGACAGAGCTTCAGAGGTCATGCAAGGACACACTGCAACCAAAGCTCCTAGATGACAGGACAAGGGACAATAGTTTTCAACTGAAAGATGGTAGGTTTATATTGGACATAAGGAGAAAATGTTTTATGATGAGGGTGGTGAGACACTGGAACAGGTTGTCCAGAGAAGTTGTGGATGTCCCACCCTTGAAGCATTCAAGGTCACGTTGGACAGGGCTTTGAGCACCCTGATCTAGTAAAAGATGTCCCTGCCCATGGCAGGGGGGGTGTTGGACTAGATGATCTTTAAAGGTCCCTTCCAACCCAAACCATTCTGTGATTCTATGACCGTCCATGCGACAAATTTACCTGGATAGTTGCTCGTGAGGCACCTGATTAGGATGAGGGACATGAGATTTGGTCAACGGGGAAACAATAATTCTACATAACAGGAAAACTCAGAGGGGCAAAATTACTTGCTCACAGAGTAGGAAGCTCGGTTGGTACTTCTCTGTGTATGTCCCAGAGGCAAATGGCTAGGGAAGGTGTTGCCTGTTCTTCCTCTGATGCTTTATTGCTGCTTTTAGAGAAAACTGCAGTGTTCTAAAACCCACTGAGCAGGTTTCAGCAAGTAAACATTACTGGCAGCTTTTGAAGGCAGAAAGAAAAAACCAAAAGGAACAATGAAGTACCCTAGGACCGGGGCTTTGAGAACTTCTAGTGACCACCAGACAGACAAATCACAACTTCTACAGAGTGTCTAGCCCTGTCACTGCTCTAAAGAAGCTGTGAAAAAGAAGGCTGTGTTTTGTTATACTCCAAATCAATCCTAATCATTTTCACAGACAGCTTCACAACAGGACTGTGCACAGGATCTGAGGAACTTACCTGGCTGCATTATCAGCACTCATGCTCTTTGCCTTTGCAATAATTAGCAGCAGGGATTTTTCAAAACTACACTTCACAGGGAAGGCCAGGGTCCCTCCTCCTCCTCCCCACAAAAACTACTGCTTTACTGGACTTCAAAAATATTTCCATAAAACCAGTGTCCTCTAAGAGCATGAAAGACACTACTAAAACCTCCTGGGTAAAGAGTCAGGAGAAGAGGCCTTCTTGCTCTGGTTCAGTGACAGAAGGTCGCAATGCTGTGATACTGCAGGAGGTATGCTGAAAAGGGTGGGTTCCAAAATAGTCCCACTCTTCAAGTCAAAAAGGAAGCATGGGAATGAGAAGGGAAAAACAGACCCTTGTACAGCTGGGGACATGGCTTCACTCCAGCAGCACAAGCAGAGCAGAAAGCTTCACACAGAGACTGCATGTACCATGTGGGAGAAGCATAAGGCTGCACCCCTCGCTGCCTCCAGATCTTGCTGAGACACTCCTCCCAAGCCCTCACCTCCTATAAGAAGGAGGAGCAGTCTACATGCGCCAGCTTATTTTACAAAATCCTGGTTTTACTAATGTACCTTCACAGCAAAAGCAATGAGAACAGGCCCCTCGGTGCCCTGTACCACAGGAAGTATGAGGGAGGAACAGGCAGCCCTCAAACTGCGTTTCCTCAAAGGCTGGAGAGCTGTGCAGAGTTCCCTACAGCCATGCCCAGCGGCACTGCTGCAGCCAGCGCTCCCTCATCTCCACACTGGGGCACCCAGAGGCTGCCTGCTGCACAGGCAACCCAGCACGCAGCATGCACCTGGGTCCTCTCCCTGCTGCTGCAGGGTACAGTCACCCCCAGGTTCAAAGTCCCTGGCGCAGTGCATCAGGGCCCAGAGGGCACAGCCTCCCTCCTTGGGCAGCTCATCGCCAAGAACTGTTGTGAAGGAAGAGCTGCAGGCAGGCTCAGCAAGGACCTGTCCCTCCCTTGGGAGCTGTTTTATGCTAGGCTTTTGGCTGTGACCCCACCTGAGCCACTCTGTGGCTGCAGTGCCTGGCTGCATAACCCTGCTGGTCTGGAACCTGACTGACCCCCAGGCCGACTTTCTGGCTTGGTCTTGGATCTGCCTCGTCCCCATGGACTTGCCTGGGAAATCTAGACTCCCAGCTGGTCCTGGTCATCACTGCCAGACCTACCCGGCTCGCCTTGCACTGGTAGTGTGGTGCTGCAGCCTTGCCCGTGAAACCACTGCCTCTGCCTGTGCCCTTCCAGCACCCTCAGCTCCCAGCTCATCTTCCCTCAGGCAGCAGCCCATCCTTTCTTTTTCGTGACACAGAGCACGGTGCAGCGAGGCAGCAGAGCTTGGCTTGAGAGCTGCTTTTTAACCACAAGCTAAAGAGTATGAAGCTGTATGCAATACGAGTGAAGCTAGAAGCAGCTGCACAGTTCCAGCCTCTGCCAGCTGTTATTATGGTCTGGGAGAAGGCACGGTGAGGCAATACATCTGAGGATGTCAGAAATGTCGCTTCTAGCAACTTTTTGCATCTACAAAGGGAAGGGCAGTTTTGAGGTGGTTGTATGGTTTACCTGTGTCTTTGTTCATAATGCGTTGTATTAAGCAAAAAGAGCTCTGAATTCAACAGGTCAGTGAGACATGGCTTTCAACACACTGGGCAGAAATCCAGTCTGTTCAAGGAAAAAGAAAACAAGAACTGTAACTTAACACAGAGCACAGAGGGTGTCATGAATGCACTAGGCTTAGAGAACAATTTGTTAGCACAGCAGTGCTGGGGAACCTCTGCAGATCCATTCTCTTGCCCTTTGAGCCCATTTATACCTATGGCTGAACATGTAATGATGTGGTTCTTAATTAGGGGTTGCTACAGTTTCATAGCATGACTGATTGCACTGCTCACTTCAGCCACAGCAATAATGACCACCATCACGTCGGCAAGCCCCTTTCCAAACAGAAAGGCTGTCTCCACTTGGCCTCCCTACATAGATGCTGCTATGCCCATTCGACCATCCTAAACCTTCTGTAACTCTCCTCTTCCTTCCTTCTGCCTGTGGGCAAGACAGGGCCCACCCAATCCGAACAGCAAGTCATTTGAGGTGCCAGCACACAGTGGATGTATATGCTGGCACAATGATGCTGCTCTACTTCTCTTCCCGTTCTGCCCCCGATAACTGCCAATGCCCAGTCCATCTCTGTGATAGCGTGTAGGGCTGCCTTTCCCAGAGAATCACTTGCTGCCTCTCATGTGCAGGATCAGCTGATGCAGCACCCACCCGTGCCTGGGTCCCAGCAGTCAGCATTTATCAGCAGGGGTTCAGCCTCAGTGCCTGGCTGCCCACTGCAGTTCTAAAGAGTCGGGTTCGCTGTGGTTGTGCTTCATCAGCTTAGCAACTGCTGTTCTTCAGGGTGTTTATAGAAAAGGAGTAGCCCAGGTGTCACAGACCCCTCTGGCAACCTCCTTCCACTGCCACACAATTGCCTGTGCCTTCTTCCTGTCTCACCTGTCTGTTTACTGTTAGTTAACCAAGGGGAGGCTCTTCCCTCTTCATCCACAACCCATTAGTTTACTTAGGAACCTCTGGCAACAGAGGTTGGCAGCACTGTTTGGATACCCAAGTCTGCTAGGTTGATTGGATCCTATATGTAGGTCTTTGCTGACCCCTCCAGTGCACTGACATGCAGGGGTTTGTGTCACAGCATGTGAAATTTGAGTTGGCTCTTCCTCTGTACATCATATTTACCCTCAAGTTTGCAGACTCCTTTCATTATTACACAAACTTCACCAGGGCCACTGCAACAGTAGCAGAGCACAGATTCAACAGGCTGGCAGGAAGGATAGGGAGGGATGGACTGACACTCACCTGAGAGGAAGAGAGAAGTCTGCACGGAGCTGTGGCTGGTGGAGTGTTTTAGCCATGAAGGACTGTGTAGCATTCCTTCTCCGCAACAGCAAGGAAGGAAACTCTTGTCCAGTTCCCTCTTTTTCCCCTTATACACAGTTCTGCATTAAGCATACTGTTCTGCCACTGTGCAGCCCGTTTAGTTTTGGAGAAAAAAAAGTCAAAGCTCAAAAGCAGAAATACCCCCTGAGCCTTTTAATACTGTCATGAAAACAGCTCCTCCCATTTTTTCTCCATTAAAAGTGTTAAAAACACTCCTAATAGTGTCTCAAGTAAACACAGATGCTCTCCCAGAAAAACAAATACATGCCAGTGTTCCAGCTAAGCCGGTGCACAAGACACCATCTGAAACAACCCACTAATCTCATGGAACCAGGGAGACTTACAATTCTGCCAACACACTGCAGGATTTCCAGCAAAATCCCCATCCTGTAAACTGGAAGGAGCTTTGCAAGAAGTGCTGCCCACCTCAATCTCCTATCAGGTTTGTTAGACCTAACTGGACCAGAACTGCTCTCTTAGGGTTTATGACCTACTCAGACTTTGGACCCTTTCCACTGACAGAGTTTTGCAGCAGAACTCCTTTACCTTCATTCCTACTTCCTCTGTGAGGTCCACAATGTCATACGGCATGTCCTTCTTATTGGGTACCAGGTACTGCCCAACAGGTCTTGCAGCGCTCTCTTCCTTGGTGCTGTATGCCACCCAGGGCCACCTCCAGAGTCCCTCTGAGGCCAGGAGAGGCAGAAGCTGAGGAGAAAGGAGAGAGGGGACTTTGTTATTTGGAAGGACACATATCATCTCGGCAGCCTGGGGAGGGAAGACTTTTCCTCAGCTACTCCTGCTTTTCTGACAGGACTCAGGGGCACCTCTGTCACTGTAAGCCACTTGCTGCTCCATTAGCAGGGCAGTCGGTGCTCTGGGAAAGGAAACCCAAGTCCCATTCCTGGCTGTAGCCCTAAGCTGCTGTGTGGGCATCTGGCAAGCATCACCTCCCCTCGTCCCCCTCCTGTGCACCATCTCAGCTGCAGGCTACGGCTGCTGCTCCTTGCAGTCCTCACCAGCCATGGATCAGCCCATCTGCACCAATGCTGAACCTGCGGCATCTCCCAAGCTTAAAAGGTGTTTCCTGCCAATCTGCATACTACAACATCACGCGGATATCCAGCAGTGGCCCTGACAGGTACCCTTCAACAAAGGAGCACGAAGAATAAATTCAAGGCCTTTTTTTTCTGCCAATCAGCCTTCCTTCAGGCAAAGCCACCTTCCCCCCTGCAGAACAATCAGTGGCACCAGAATCAGGCCTTCTGGAGACCTGAAGCAAACAGCATTGTTACACCGGAACCACTGGAAAGGGTTTGGTACTGAGAAGACTGTATCACCCTTTGTAATGCTCCATTACTGTAAGAAGCTGTGGTCTTGCAGCATCTAGGCTATAGGCCTTGTTAGTTCTTGAACTGTGTCGCAAAGGGCTTTACAAAAGCAGCTGCACCTTGCAGATGCGTGGGCTGGGCCACAGAGTGGAGTGACTTGATGTTGGGGAGTTGGTGCAGGCGTGGGAGCAGAGCCCAGGTGTCCTGGCACCCTGCTCAGAGGGCGCTTTGAGTGTCTTCCCAGCTCTCCAGAATGCACCACAGCAGTTCTGAATGTTCCCAGGAACATTGCATGATCCCCAGTCACCACCACCATCGCATGGTGTCCCCCACAATTTTGGGGTGAAAACTAAACCTGTTGGATCACATATTCTCCCAGTGTTCTTGCTTGGCATACACTTGAGTTCTGGCCTGACACGCCAACACACTACTGCAGCACAAACGAGTAACAATGATAACCAGGGCAGAGACACCTCAGCTCGCTGCTATGAGGAATGAAGATGCTGAAACAGCTGTACATGCTGTACCAGCACGTATCCAGGTACCACCTATGAAAATTATGAGAAAAACACAAAAGCAAGTATAAGCAGGAAAACCAGCTCAGAAATGAAACTTCTGTTTCAAAACAGAAAAAAAACCAGTGCAAAAATACACTGGGGTGCAACAAGTAGCTTTAGGGCCATTGAAAGCAAGGATTCCCATCACGTAAAGATCAACCATGCACCCGGTTCAAAACCAGGGCAAACCTGTATACATCAATACAAAGGTCTGGTGGATCTTCCTATCACTGGAAGAAATAGCATTAGAGAATGCACGGTTTGTGACACAAAGCAGAAGCTTCATGGAGGGACGGTGCACAAGTGCCTGACAGATTTACCCTCCATTTGCGATGGTGTGTGACGTCCCGAGTGAAAAGGAGAAGCCGTCAAGTGGTAGGAGCCGGTAGCCTCGATG